TCTATTTAGTTGATCGAGGTCACCTTAAACCCTAGATAGGTAATTGATATATTTGAGACATGAGGCATGAAGTGACATGATCACAATACAATATTATATGTCTCATATGACATTATAAATATTGAGGTGTAAATTGTTGAAATCGGTTGACAATCGGGTGTCAATCGGGTAAGTCATTATATGAATGGTTGAGGAATTAGCTTTATAATATATTTTTGGATCTTAAGGCAAGTGAAATGGATTGTAAACATGTCAAAATAAGCCAAGGATACTTGATTTGTACCTGCAAAGATAGATATAAAATTAGATTATGCTACAAGTGACCACCTCATGCTTGAACACCTCATGCTTGGGATGTTTGTCATTTTAACACTCAATTTCTTCAACCTTAAGGCATCAATCTTGTCTCTACTCCCTAAGAACTTAATATAGGAAGAATATATATCTTATAATTCATAAATGGATACAAAAATAATGGTAGAAAAGTCAAGTATTGCAGCCAAGATGTCAGTTCCTACTTAATACTCACCAAGGTTGCTTGACGTGGCTGCATCCCATAATATCCTTAATCCTTAAGTACTATGCACGATCTCAACCACATAAAGACCACTCATTTACCTCCTAGATAATATATTAACTCGCTTAGCTCGTCTCTAAGTGATTCCAAGTGAAAAAGAAAGTGAAAGAGTCAAAGAGAAATAGAAACAAGAAGCTGGAATTTCTGGACAGCTTTATTACTTCATAGTTTCAAGGTTTGTATTCATTATTTCTTAAGGGGTTTATAATTTCTTGAACATCTGAACTTGCTTGTGATTAGGTTGGAGTATTTTTAATGATTTTATGAAGCCAAAATACGGGTAATTCATTACAAGAATTTGAAAGAAAGTAATCTAGATAGAGATGAGGATTTGCTAGATTTAAATGGTTTAAACTTTGATTTTGGATAATACTTAAGATATAACTTGTATCTATGTAAATAAATGTTGTTATATGAGGGTTATAATAATAGAAATGGTCTTCTAATAGCATGGAATCTGATTGGTGACATGCTAGTAAAATGGAAACCGAAAATAGTCACAAGAAAAGAAAACTGCCTGATTTGATGTGTTGAAAAAGGGATGGTTTTTGAATTTAGCCTTTGCTTGGTCCCCATTATAATTTAATACATTTTTTCTCTCCTTATTAAAACTAGACATTCTCTAATAAATTAACATAACATGTGAATACAAAACTTTTTCTTCTTGTTGACTTCAAGTTTTTCTAACTCATATCTTCTTCATCAAGTCTCCATCATTTTCTTGAGTCCCAATCATCTTCTTTGAGTCTTTAAATCAACATAATACCAAGAACATTCAAGAATTGTTTTGTGCAATTAAATTTATTGCACAATACAATTTTTTCGATTTTTTTTTGCCCTTGTGAATTTTTAGCATATTTAGTGTAAAAAAATTAAAATTCTACAAAAAATGCCAGCAAAAAGAAAAAGAAAATTTTGAGCCAAAAGGAGACATTGATTTCAAGAAATACTTTCTCGAAAATTATTGAAGTGCAGTTTCTTTCAAGAAATTAATATAATACCTAAATCATTCATTGGTATTGCTTTTGTTGTGGAAAAGGTATAGATCGATTTCAAGAACCACTTTTTTGAAATTCTTTGTTGTGTTTTCACTTAATTCCTTCATGCCATTCTTGGATCCTTTTCTCAAGTCATTATCCTTCTTCAATTCCTCTTGTGATTTGAATCTCATAAGGTCGAAATTTTTTTGATTGAAATGAATTAGTTAGCTAGAAAACTTGAAAGAACACATTTAGAGGATAAAGGCAATGGTGGTCAAATTATTAGAAGGAAAAAACTAAATTGAGCGAAACATGATTGCAAACACGTGAGGGATACAAATTCTTGTTATTAGGATAATAAAGAATAATCACTATTTAGAGAGGGAACAATCAAGGCTTCATGATGAAAGCCATGCAACAATTCGAGCGGATGAATGTAGTATTTGGTTGAATTACATGTAGAATGGATCGACAAGATACAATGATTGTAAACGTACAAATAGGGCAATCTAGAGAGTTCCTAGTGTTAGGAGACGTTTTAAGCACGGTCCTAGTGTTGAATTTGATGATGAGAATGAGCATGATGAAGTATTAGAGACCAAAGTGGTTACAATGAGAAATAGAGGGGATAAGTGTGAAGTTGGAGTTGATTTTTGATTGCCATAACTATTGTGAGGAGAAAGGGTGAAATTAGCAGTTATAGATTTACTGATTATGCAATCATTTGGTGGGATCAACTTACAAATAGGAGGAGAAATCATGAGAGGCCTATAGAAACTTGGGGTGAGTTAAAGGCTATCATGAAGAAGAGATTTGTACGTAATCATTATTATAGGGATTTTCACCAAAAAACTTCAAAGCCTAAGTCGAAATTCGATGAGTGTGGAAGATTACCATAAGGAGATGGAGATAATTGTTATTATGGCAAATGTTGAGGAGGATCGGGAAGGCTAGGAAGCCACATTGGTTAGATTTTTGAATGATTTGAATAGGGAGATAACCAACGTAGTAGAGTTACAACATTATGTGGAATTGAAGGACATGTTACATGTGGTTATAAAGGTAGAGAGGCAATTAAAAATAAAAGGAGCAGCTAGGTATTCTTTAGGGTTCTTCGAGTTATAATCCTTCTTGAAAATCGAAGTGGAATAGTAATAGAANAGTAATAGAATTGTTTCAAAAGTTAAGAATGTACAGTAATGGGAAAAGTGGACTTTAACTAGCAAAATAAAACTCTAGGCGGATTCCCAACCTACTAGGAATGGGGATATCAAGTGTGTTAGATTCTTGACATAATCAAACCCAAGCATCTTT